TCAAAAAAAAAAAAAAAAGAAAAGGGGAAGTAAAAGTTTTCTGTTGCCCTTTTTTTTCTTTTTTTTAGATAAAATTTGTTTTCAATAGAATTTGCCTTTTTTAGTGTACAGATCTATGAGTTTAACTAAAGCATACATACAGTCCTGCAACCACTGCCGCAGTCAAGATGTACAACATTTCGTTCGCCCCAAACGCTTGATCCTGAGAACTAGTGATCTGTTATCCATCCCAGTGGTTTACTTTCTCAGAATGTCATATAAACAAGACTACCATATGATCCAATAATCCTACTGCTGGGTATATATCCAAAGAAAGGGAATTCAGTACAAGGAATGTTGGGAAAGTATCTATGTTATATTAAAAATGGCTGGATACTTTCCAGACAGCCCTTGTATATTGCAATAGTATACTCCCATGTTTATTGCAGCACTATTCACAAAAGCTACAATTGGGAATCACCCTAAGTGTTCATCAGCAAGTGAATGGATAAAGAAGTTGTGGTATGTGTAGATAATGGAATATTATATAACCAAAAGAGAATGACATCGTGCCATTTGCAAACACATGGATGGAACTGAAAAACATTGTTAAGTGAAATAAGCCAGACGTAGACAAATCTCACATGTGGGAGCTAATTTTTTTTTTTTTTTTTTTTTTTTTAGACAGAGTCTCAAGCTGTCCCCCTGAGTAGAGTGCCATGATGTCTTAGCTCACAGCAACCTCCAACTCCTGGACTCAAGCCATCCTCTTGCCTCAGTTTTTCTATTTTTAGTAGAGATGGGGGTTTGCTTTTTGCTCAGGCCAGTCTCAAACTTGTGAGCTCAAGCAGTCCACCCCCCTCGGTTTCCCAGAGTGCTAGGATTACAAGCGTGAGCCACCACACTCAATCTAGGGAGCTAAATATTAAAAACAATTGACCTCATGGAGACAGAGTAAAAAGATGGTAACCAAAGATTGGGAAGGATAGTGAGGAGAAGGGATGAAATGGAGGTGCTTAATAGGTACAAAAATATAGTTAGAATGAACAACATATGATGGCACAACAAAGTGACTATAATCAGCAGTAAGTTAGAGTATACTTTAAACTAACTAAAAGAATGGAATTGGAATGTTCCTAACACAAATGCTAAATGCCTAAGGTGATGGACACCCCAATTACCCTGATTTGATTAATTTACATTATATGCCTATATCAAAACACCACATGTACCTTATAAAGATATACAACTATTGTACCCATAATAAAAAAAAAAATTTTAAAACAGAATGTTATGTAAACAGAATCGTATAGTAGGTAGCTTTAGAATCTGTTTTGGTGTCATTTTTTAATCTAGTTACAACCAAATGAAATTCATCCGCTTGGCTTTGAGAACATGTACTATGTTCAGAGACAGCATCTAGGTTAACCAGCATTGAGAGAAGTTGACAGCTGGGAAAAGATGTTTCAATGAGAACATCTCAAGAATAGATGAGGTTCTGCCACCTGCCACTGTTCCTTCTTTATGCCCTATGCAGCCACCTATCCTGACCACTGGGCCAGCATGCCTTCCTCCAGGCTCACACTTCCATATTGCCCCATACCCTGAAAAACTTTCTCCCTCATTCTTAAACTCTAAGGCACATTTGGCATTGTCAAAGAGTTTTGTAGACTCTTTAAAACATTTAAAAAAAATTTTAATTAAAAAAATGCATATTCTTTGTAGACAATTGAGAGGATATAATTCTGCTAGTAAGAAAGAGATGTTGCTTAACACCATGGTGGGTGTATAAACTATCAGGCGTGTGTGATACACACTTTTCCTACACTGATTAAGATTATACTGCTCTTTTGTAACTTGCTCTTTTTACTGCATAACACATTAGCCAACAAGTCCTGAAACTTTCTCAGTATCTATACCAACCTGCTTTCCATATTCTTTTCTTATATTGATAGACGTATTTTTCTCCACTTATTTCCTGTGGGTGGTCCTCAAGTCTTTGATATTTATTCTTGCTCTATAAATCTCACTTCCTTTTTGAGTTTATCCATTGTAAGACATCCATGTATCATCAGTGTGTTGATGGCTTATTCAAACTTTATTCAGATATGGAGTATATACTGTGTAGTAGGTCACAGGCTAACTATGTGTGATTCAGAAGTGAAAAAGACTAATATTACCCCTACCCTTGTGGAGCCGTCACTTTGAGGTGGAAGGCAGACATGTAAACAGACAATCGCAGTGATGTGGGAAGTACAGATACTGAGGGGGACAGAATGACCCCTACCCAGTGAAAGTGTTCTGGAGGAAGTAGCATCCTACAGAACAATGAAACAATCGGCAAGTAATGTAGGGAGGGGATGACAGGGCAGAGCATGTCCAAAAATTATCCCCATCAACCTGTTAGTAGAATAGATAAGGTTCATGAATATAGAAGTATATTCCTCTTTGTGAGGATTCTTAAAAGAATTTGAGTGAATATGTAAGAATAACCTTTGATCCCACAGGAGTAAAATCCAACAACTTTTTCCTATATCCAAGAAGCCTGGAAGTAGGCAATTTTTCTTTTTTTTTTTTTTTGAGACAGAGTCTCACTCTG